ATCTTATTCTTATAATTTTGAATTAGTACTCTGTCTATCTTGGAAAAGAGATCTTTATCAAAGAAACCTGCTGCAAAATTTTCCCCCTTCTAAAGCTTAATTAAATTTAACCTAAATCATCTTTTTTTAAAAAAAAACTTTTTTCAATTTTTCAATTAAATTTTAATGTTCAATTAATGAAAATCCATCTTCTCTCCCTCTTCCCACCTCCCCCCACCATTGAAAAGTCAAGAAAACCAAAAGCTTTGTAAAAACACATAGTCAAGCAAAACCAACTCCTACATTGGCTGTGTCTCCCCCATCTCCCAAAAATGTCTCAATGTTCACTCTGATTCCACCACCTCTCTGTCAGTTGAACTACCTGTTTCACCATGAGAACTCTGGAATTATCTTGGTCATTGCATTGCTTAGAGTTTTCCACACTCTCTTTAGGTGCTCTAGGTTTGTCACAATCTGCTTTGGCTCTCCACTCTTCTCTTTCCCTCTCCAGAGCCCAATCACAGGTTCTTATCCATTCTTTTTAAACCCCTCTTCAAGATCCACCCTCTAGGATTGGAGTTTATTTTGCTACTACTAATTCCTCCCTTAGTTTACTCTCCCTTTTATTCTTCCCTCTCCTTTTCCCCTATTTTCCTGTTGAGCAAAATGCATTTCTGCATCCAACTCTGTGTGTGTGTGTGTGTGTGTGTGTGTGCTTTCTTCCTTTGACTAGTTCAGATGAGAGTGAAGCTCAATAGTCACCTTTCTGCACCCAAATTATGAGATTTTCCCCACATTTCTTCCTTTCTCCCTAGTGTATACATTTTTCTCTCCCTTTCCTTCTTTTAAGATCAAAACAAAACCTTACTTCCAGTCCTTCTGTTTTATTAGATATTTTCTATGATCCCTTATGATGCTGGGGTTCCGAGGGGACACATTTATCATCACCTCATGTTAGAATGCAAACAATTCATCCTTGTTTGGTCTCTTATTACTGTTCCCTCATATTGATCTTTTATGTTTCCTGGATAGGAGTTTATATTTCAAAGTTTCTTCATAGCTCTGGGCTTTTCAACCAGGAATACTTGTAAATTCTCTATTTCAATAAAGGTCCAATACGTTGGGATTATACTCAGGTTTTCTGAATAAATTAGTCTTGGTTGTAAGCCTACATCTTTTTACATTCTGGAATATTATATTCCAAGATTTCTGCTCCTTTAGAGTGGTTGCTGATAAATCTTGTGTGAGTCTGACTGGCTCTTCTGTATTTTAATTCTTTCTTTTGGCAACTTGTAGCATTTTTTCTTTGACTTAGAACTTAAGAATTTTGGCTAAAATGTTCCTGAGAGTTTAAAAAAATTTTTAGGAGGTTACTGATACACTTTATTTTCATTTTGCCGTCTGATTTTAAGAGATCTGTGTAGTTTTCTTTTATGATTTCTTAAAATGTCTTGACTCATTTTTCTTTTTTATCATGGTTTTCAGAAAGCTGAATAATTCTTAAATTATATCTCCTTGATCTGTTTTCCATGTCAGTTGTTTTTGATAGGAGCTATGTTACACTTTCTTCTATCTGCAAAATATTTTTAGTCTTTTGACTTTGATTTAATATTTCTTCTTGTTGGGGCAGCTAGGTGGCACAGTGGATACAGCACTGGCCCTGAGGTCAGGAGGACCTGAGTTCAGATCTGGCCTCAGACCAAACACTTGACACTTACAAGGTCTCATTTCTTCCCCTCTAGCACTTTCATTTCTTTTCCAATTGTTTTTGTTAGTGCTCTTATTTCTTTAAAAATAATTTTTAGCTCTTATAAATTTTTGCTTTGTTTTTCCAAGGATTATAATTGAACTTGTGTCCCAGCTGTGTTTTTCTCTCAGGCATTGTTTGTAGATTTTTCAGAGGGAGTCATTCTCTTCTGGATTTGTGTGTCCAGCAACTCTATCACCATAATAGTTCTTTATGATAGATTTTTTTGGTTTGCTTGTTTTTCCAAGCTATTTCTTGACTTCAGATTTCATGTTAGTTCAAGGTTCTGTATACTTCTGGTAGGAATGGATGGGTAGTATTTGGTTCTATTGTGTGCTTTCTTGGTCCTGCTACTTTTTTGGTAATTGAGTGCTACATATACTAGGGACATCTCACCTTGGGGACTTGTAAGCTTTCAGTGTACTTAATGTGGTTAGATTTAGGGAAAAGTATAAATGCTGTTTTCCCGGTCTGAGCTTTGTAAGTTTTTGACCTTGGTTTGGGTCTTAGCAATACAGCTATGGGCTTGCCCCTGGTTGTAGCTCCAGGAGATTATTGCTGAATTCAGTCACATCAGGCAGCTGGAAAGCTATACAGTTTCAGGTAAAAGTACTATAGGCCCCTCTTCTGGGATTCCTGCTCTGGTTATTCTGCTGTAGGCTTTAGACTGGGCAGAGGACTGGATTTGAGACTACAATCTACTCACTGGGTGAAAGCCATACAACTGCTGCTTTCTTTTGTACTTGTTCCTTTCTCAGAACATAGCCTAGCCTTGATGACTCCTTGCCTTGGAATGCCACCCTTAGATGATACCTTAGATGGCCCTTTTCAGTCTTGCACTAGATTTGTGACCCAACCCAAGAAAGTAAATTACAAAGCTACTAGTTGGCATCTGGTGCTACTTCCTGTGCAAACTCAGTCCCCTCTCTGCCAGATCTGTGACCTCTTCTTACTTTGGTACACAGCCACAGGCAGGCCCTCCTTCAGGTACCATGGTGGAAGGTTCCACACAATGTGCTCCCCCCAACCCCAGTGTCTACAGACTTCTGACAATCTTCCCTATGCCAAACTGGGCTGGAAAAATTACTTACAATATTTTTCTTTAATTTCCCAAACAGGACTCAATGTGGTACATTTTCTAAATCTATAGAGAGCAGCTGGGGAAAAATTGGTCCTACTACTTCCTTCTACTCCACCAGTAGTTATTACTTTTACTCACACAGGCACAAAGATGTAGCACTAACATTTACTATTCAGAGCACAGGTTAACCATGCTGTTATTAATTTATCAAACCCAATATAAATTCAAATTTTAAATTGCTTAATTTGTTAAAGCTGATACATGGTTCCTTATATTTTTCCACATGCACAGGAATACCAGTTATCTGGAAATTAAGCTTGGAAATCATTAGCAATCTCAATACTAACTCCATCTTCCCAAGGATGAACTAAGCATTTCTCCAAGTTCAGTTCACAGCTTTAGAGGCATGGCAATCTTGCTATTTTGTCTTTCTCCTCTTATTTCATGAAAGACTAAAAACTTCTTTAAATTTTATGTAATACTTTCCCAAATCCTGACCTTTCCTTTTTTCTTTGTCTTTTGCTCTCCCCCATCACCTCCCACCTCCCACGCCCAGCCAGACTGGTCCTGACTGGAGATTCTGAGAGCTTTTGGGGAACCAGAAGTTGAAGCCACTCCTCTGGGTCTGAGATGAGTTTCATACATCCGCAAGCAGAGTTGTATTTTTAGACATATATATATTTTTTACTTTTAACAGCACTTTTATATGTTTCTCATTGTCTTTTAATTGAGCTTTAAGTTTACACTGTGTCAGTGTTAACTATTTCTAATTCTTATTTTTCTTACTGATTAGCCCATACTGAGCTTTCCAAATCACAGAATTGCATTTCTCTTTATATATTATTTTATTTTCTAAGATTGTATGCTTCTTAATCTCATTCTTGTCTGCTTTCAAATTGTTTCAAATTGTTTTCAAGTCCAGTTTCTTTTTACTCTATTGAGTCTCTCCTTTGCAAATTAGCTTAATTTTCTTATACCTCTCACATCCCTTTCAAAGTCTTGCTTTCAGGTGATCAGAGCTGAAACTTCCAGGTTTACTGGCAGTTTCTCATTTGGCCATGCAAAACACTTCCAATCTGGTTTCTTAACTTGAGAATTTGTGAATAAATGATATGTTGTAGTTCCCTTTAGGTAATTTTGCTTCTAATTTACAAAGACAGTAATTTTCTGCCATGTCATCCAGAAGCTCACAGTAAGCAGGCAAACCAAACTTTTAAAATGAAAATTTGCCCGTTTTCCTCCAAATTATTTTCCTTTTTAAAAGAACAAATACCTGCTAGGTTTTTCTTGAGTACTTGAGTTTTCTTGAGTATAGTTTAGCTTTGAAACAAACAAAAAAAGCAACTTCTTTTTTCTTTCTCTCTTTTTTGAAGTTACTTGAGTGAAAACCTTAAATTGGTTTCAGTTCTGTTTAAAGACTGATCATCTTCTAACTGAACAGATATTAACACTGACTCACAGAAAAGATGAAAATATTTCCATTGCTAACAACATTCATTCATACAACCAAAAATCTACAGCGTGTACTCTTAAATTAGATTAAACAAGGATCCTTTAAAAACAACTTTAGCCAAATCATTTTGACCAAGAATTCACGTTTCATTTCTCTAGTGGGCGACATAGAAATGCTAGCTTTTCTGGGGACAGGGACATTTTTATATGTTCTGTTCCTCAGTCAGAGGTTTCCCCAGCTTTTCTCAAGTTGGGCACTTAGTACTGATGTTAGCTCAAAGACCTGTTCTCAAAGTTCACTGACCAAGAGGAGTCTGAAGCCAGCTCCACCCTGATAAAAGGGAATCTGGTCCTTTTTTTTTTCTATGTGCATAAACATCTCTAATTTCATTTCCCATTGCAGAAGATCAACAATCTTGATTCTGAGGGACAACCACTATCAGATAGGAGGGTTGAATAACCAATTTTGGTCAAGCACTCCAAAATGACCAAAAGGATCTCTGAATTAAGAGGTTAAGTACTTTTTGTGACAGGAAGAGAATGCTCTTGTGGTCCCATACACTTTTTTCTATGGCGGCTGTACTAATTTTAAGATCAGTCGCTCTTTAGGCCTTTATGTCTTAAACACAGAACTGAGGAATAGATACTAAAATGAACCACAAGAGTGAAAAATATCAAACTTACTACTTTATTTTTTGTTTGTTTTGCTAGTTTGGAATTCCTTTGACAGAGTGCATTGGAGTTTGTGGAATTCCCAGAGGATCCAGGAACAGTTAAGCTTATGGAAAGGACCACTAGTCCCGGGTGAACTGCTGGCCAGCACCAAGAAGAGGGTTAGCATAACTTACCTGTCACCTAGGATCATGGGATTAGGCACGATCTCCCTCGAAATCAGAGACACAGTCCTTTTCCTGACCAGCAGTCAGTTGTGGCTGAAATTGGCTTAGTTCCAGAGTAGAGAGGTGATTTAAAGCTGCTAAATAAAGGATTTATACTGGTATAATAGAAGGCTTACCATACACAACATATAAGGTGGTCATTGCTCATGTTCATTAGAACAGACATGTACAAATACTATACTGTAGCTGACAGGCTCAGTCTTTTTCTCAAATGTTCGACATCTATGTGCCTAATCACAGTCTGGAGGCAAGGCTAGGGAAGTTCTGTAGTGAAAAACTTCCTATAAGGGTTTCTACTTCTATTTAGTTGGTCACAGAAGTCTTTCAAAAAGAAGTTGTCCAGGATCTGTGCTGGCTTTCTATTAGGCTTAGGAATTATAGTAAATATCTAGTGCAAACTTCAAATATCAAAGGAAAAAATAATACAGTACCCTGAACTTAAGCTCAAGTTTGCAAAAAAAAATTTTAAGATTAATCTAATATCTAAACATTTCTAGTTTGCAAAGAAAGAGAGATGGCCAAACTGCCTTAGTCCCCCGCATGTTCCAACATTATTCTTTGCCCCAAGATTTCAGATAACATTTATAGGCTTCTTAAACAAGGAAAAGATCACAGTGAGTAAGAAGACAGTTTGGGTTCATGTTCCAGGATTGTTGCAAGTCACTGTCCCATTCCTTCCTGGACCATTCCCCTTGAGGGACCAATGGGAGATGATATTGAGAATATTTTCTGAATAGGAGGTGGCAAGGGTGCCTCCCTTTCAGTGGAAGAGAAGGTACTTCATTTGGCTGAGTACTGGTATCAGTTATTTTAGGGGTAGGGGAGCAATGCTATAAAGAAGAGTTATTCTTGTTGGTTAGCATCCTTAATCCATTTCCTTAAAGAAAACCTTTTTGTTTTCTACCTATTACCCACCTTTTCACAGGGCTTCCCCCTCCGGAGTCTGGAAATAATAAGAACTAGCATTTATATAGCACTTTAAGGTTTTTGAAGAATTTTTACAATTATCTCATTTTATCCTCACAATAACTCTGGGAGGTAGGTGCCATTATTATTGCCATTTCACAGATGAAGAAACTGAGGCAGACAAAGGTTAAATGACTTTCCCAGGATCACACAAATGCTTGAGGATGCATTTCAACTTGGGTGGCCCGGTGCACAGAACGCCAGCCCTGAAATCAGGAAGACTCATCTTCCTGAGTTCAAATCTGGCTTCAGACACTTACTAGTTGTGTGACCCTAGGCAAGTCACTTAACCTGTTTGCTGCAGTCTCCTCATCTATAAAATGAACTGGAGAAGGAAATCGCAGATCACTCCAGTATTTTTGCCAAGAAAAACCCCAAATGGGGTCATGAAGAGTTGGACATGACTGAAAAAATGACTGAATAAATTCCTGACTCCAGGCCACTGGAGTCTATCCATTGTACTACCTAGCTACCCCTTTAGAGGAAAACATTATTTCTTACTATTTTCACTTTTACTAAAAAAGGAAATTTTTTTACTTCCCCTGGCACATAGCTGGGGTTCAGCCAAACTGGCCTTTTTGCTGTTCCTCATCCACAGCACTCCTCCTACCTTCATATCTTTTGCATTGATTACCTCCTCTGCCTACAATGTGCTTATTTGCTCCATCTTTCAGTATACCAGGTTTCCTTCAAAGCTCAGCTGGAGCATCACCTTCTACCTGAGGTTTTCCCTAATCACCCCATAGCTAATGTCATCTCCTTCCTCTGAATTGTCTTTTATCTTTTGTACTTACATATGTATATTTTCTCCCTAAATCAGGGTTTCTTAACTTGAGGTCCTACAGAACTCCAAGGAGGTCCATGGATAACTTTCAGGGGATCTGTGAACTTGGATTGAAAAAAAGTTAGGTATTTTCTTTAACTTCTAACATTAATCTAGCATTTCCTTCAATTGTTTAAAAACACTACTTTACCCAGAGAAAGAAATATGGAGTCTGAATGCAGATGGATGCATACTATTTGTTCTCCTTTTCTTCTGTTGTTTTGTTTTATTGCTTCATTCTCATGGTTCCTCCCATTAGTTCTAATTGTTCTTTACATCATGACTAATGGGAAAATATGCTTAACATGAATGTGCATGTACAGCCTATATCAGATTGTATGTCATCTTGGGAGGGGGGAAGAAATAGAAGGGGGAGAAAATTTAAAACTCAAAATCTTATGGAAGTGAATGTTGAAAACTAAAAATACATAAATAAGTTATCCAAAAAAAGGGGGAAAAAAACCAAAACCAAAAAACCTATTATTCTTAGAAAGGGTACTTAGGTTTCACTGGAATGCCAAAGTGGGCCATGACACAGAAAGAATGGTAAAAACTCCTGCACTAGCCAGTAAGCTCCTTGAGGCCAGGGTCTATTTACTTTGGTCTTTGTTTCCCAGTGCCTAGCCCAGTGCCTGGCATATAAAGATACTTAATGGAGAGGAGGGATGGGGACAGGAACAAGCATTTGTTAAGAGCCTACCTAAGTGCCCAGCACTGTGCTAAGTGCTTTACCAATATCTCATTTATCTCATTTGATCCTCACAACAACCATAGGAAGTAGGTTCTATTATGTATGACCCCCATTTTACAATTGAATAAATTGAGGCTTAGTTGAGGAAAACAAATTTTTGGCAGTGTTCAGTGTCAATATCCCTTCCCATTAAACATGCATTGTCTGAATAATTGACTGTAATAGTGGAGGGGGGAAGGTCCAGATCTCTTGCCCCTTTCCTCGTGATGTCCTTTAGTTGAAGAGGTCGTATGGGTGGTGTTTGTTCTCCAAGGCAGGATGCTATTCCCAAACTGTGTGGGCAATCAATCATCTTTCCTGAGATGATCTGTCTGATGCATGAACTCTCAAACTTGGTATTATTCATGAGGTAACCCCCAAGGTTGGCTCTGCCTAGAGAATCTCTTCTTTAGGTAGAAGGCTTAGATTCTGGGTTGTCCAGGGTGCTGAAATCTCTGTCCCTAACTCCTGTCATGGGATACATGAGCAAGCATATGGCTACTTTCGTCATGTGCTTCTATTGTCCTGAGAAAATCCCCAGCCAGGAGCTCTAGTTTCTGCCCTCTTCTCAGAAAGCTGTGGACAAGCTCTGGTAACTACCGCTGTCTCTGCCCCAAGGCAGGTGGAACTGGTTCCCAGGGGTAGGAGGACATTGTGCAAATGCACAGGCTCTCTTTACTGTGTGGTTATGAGTAAATCACTTAGTCTTAGTTTGCTTATCTCTAAAGTGGGCATAATAATGTCTGTACCTTGTTGTGAGGCTCCAATGAGATAATGCTCAGCATGGTGCCTGGCACGTAGTAGGAGTTTTATATTTATTTGTTTATGTCATATACAGTGGCATGCAAATTAACTGGGCCAAAGCAAAATAATTAGATTCATTGGCATACGACAAACCCTATGATTTTTTACATCTTTAAAAAACTTTTAATACGCAACATCCTCTTTTGTTGCCATCACTTATTTGTCATGATCTGGCACTGGGTTTAAAAGATTTGTCATGTTTTTTATCACACTAAGGTTGCCTTTGATGATAATCCGTTCATCTAAGTCTAGCCTTGATTATGGGCCATCAGTTTTCAACCCGGCTTAAATTAGGCAAATTCTTGGGCCATTAAAGCATATCTAGCTAGTGACACAATGAATAGAGCATTGAGCCTGGAATCAAGAAGAGCTGAGCTCAAATCTACCCTTAGACACTAAGTTGTAGAACCCTGGGAAAATCACCTAACCAGTCATTTTTTTTTAAACTAAAGAAAGTTAGCTTCCTCAACTGTAAAACAAGGGTAACAGCAGCTACCTCTCAGGATTGTGCTGAGGTTCAAATGAAATAATGCATGTAAAGCACCTGGCACACAGTAGATGCTTAATAAATGCTTGTTTCCTTCCTTCCTTGCATCATCTGGATACATTTCTTGACTTTTCGTGACATTCATGACATGGTACAAGGCTGTGTTTTCTCAATGTCAAGAAACTTATGCAATGTCCTTATGTAGAAGAATCAATAATCAGCCTTCTAGGTGCCAGTTCCTCTGACAGTCTTTGCTTGTGGGTTTTGTTTTGTTTTGGTTTTTTGTTTTTGGAGAGCTAATTAGGCTGTTTCCAGCAATAGTTCTGTCAGCTCTTGTTGTCATTTTTCATTTTTGACCACACTTTCCTTTGCACTTGAGTGTGACTGATCCCATTTCATCATGGGCTTAATGATCCTTGAAATTCTTGGCTTCCCCCACACTTACAACTCCTGTAACCTCTCTGATGGTCATTGAACTATATGCTCTCTGAAAGTTACAAACTTCACAAGTTTCCTTGTAATAATATCTATGCTTTAAAACCACAGAATTAAAAATATGATAAAAAGAGAAGAATTTGTTTATGGCACAAAGTCCAGCGCCCAACTAACAGAGAAGCTAAGAGGTAGAGATGAAGAGGGAGGGCTTCCCAAGACTGAATTTGAGAGCCTAGGATACGTAGAGCAGACTGTTAGGTATGCTACTTCCAAACCTGAATGGGGTTGTGTTCAGATTCAAAAATATGGTCTTTTCTGTGGCCACAAAAGAGTTGTATAGGCTTAAGTCTCGAGAGGATTGGGTGACTTTTTACTCAATTCAATTCAACAAAGATTTATTAAACACCTACTGTGTGCTAGGTGCTGAGAACATAATGATAAAAAAGCCCCATTCCTTTCCCTCTAGGAGCTTCCATTCTAGGAGGACACAACGTCCTATGGAAATTTCTCAAGAAAATGACACAGAATCAGACTGGATGTTATCACAAGCTTTCTAACCTACTCTTTAGTTACTTTGCACTCTTATTTCTGAATATATAATATATATATATCTGAATATATATTTCTGTATATATATATTCTTTCTTGTTGTAAATAAGCCCTGAAAAAATGCCACTTGGATTCTGAAGCGTGTGACAGACAGGTTGTTGTTGTTGTTTGTCCTTCTTTCTCAAAGAGGACCATGACATCAGGGAGGTGATGCCATGACATGCAAGTGAATTGGATATAAGTGAGAGAGGGCTGTGCAAAGTCACCAGCCTCACTCTCTCCTCCGGGGCCATCTGGGTCCAGTGGCCAGATACACATCAGGACAACTTCAGATGGCCCCAGATACAGTGGAAGACCTTGGCCTTTTAAAGCAAAGGTCTTTAGCAGGTCTCAGTTTGACTGAGGCAAAGCCTATTCAGCAAAGAATGAAGTAAAGAATGGCTTCTTTAACCTAGTCCAAAAATTAAGTCAAACTGGGAGAGCAAAACCCTCAGGATTTCTGGCCAGAACAGAAACAATTGTTATTTACATTCACACTGAGTCAATCAGGGCCCCAGCAATGACCAAATGAGGTTTGGCCTGGGACCTACTGTTGGCCAATCAATAAAAGCCAGAGAGATTTGGGTTTAAGGCATAGTCCTTGAGAAATAAATCAAGCCTGTAAACCCCAAGATATCTTGCAAAGAAAAAGAAGTAGATGCCAGCCAAGAAAATTCAGTGATAGAAGTAAAAGATGGTCATTGGGAATGAGTTAGGGCAGATCCTAACCTAGAGATCAGAAGTTTCTAAGTTTACAGGTTTGGTGATCACAATAGCTTTAGAATGTAGTGAATAAGGTTAATTGGGGTGAGACTAATTGGGTTGGAGAGATTTTAAACATATGGCTGCTGATAGCCAAGAATGGTGCATCTCTTAGGGTTCAGTGAACCCTGCAGGAGTGAGTCAAAACAGGCCCAGGATGTGGGGCTACAGCAGCAGCAGGAAAGGTAAGAAGGTGAAGCAGGACCCACAGCCTAAATTACAAGAGAGTAAACTGGGGTTTGTGGTTTCATGGACCTCTCTTTTGTGAAGCCAAGTATGTCTAGGTCACCATAAAGGGAAAGCAAATGAAACTCCTTATACCTCACAGGAGCTGGAATAAAAATTGGGATAAATGGGTTCCAGAAAGCAGAATCCTCAAACGCTGAGACACCAATCTGGAGAAGCCTTCCAAAAACTTATCAATAGAAATATGAAAAAGGCTCTGTAGGAAAGAAGACATCTGGTCTACAATATAGAAAAATAAAGAAGTAGTTTTTTTCAGAATAAATTAATCCTTCACTGTTTGGAGGCCTCTGCAGTATCAATGTGGAAAAAATAGTCCCTGTAAACTGTTGCCCCAAACCCTAAGCTTTGGTTTTACATGGACTATATTCACTTGTTACAGAGTCGACTTCCCATAAGTTGTATACCTTTAGATTTTTTTTGTCGTTGTTGTTCTTGGGAACCTTATATCTCGATCTCTTCAGAGAGAGAGAGGCCTCACCTCCTACGCAAGCATTCAAGGTAACAATGCATATCAGAAATAGCACAGCCCTTTTTTTTCACCCCATGGAAAATGAAAAGCAATACAAAGGACTCACAAGTAGGCTGTACATAGTCAATACACTTCTCTTTCCTCTCTTCTGTTGAGTCTCACCTTTTCCCCACAGACCTATACAATCCTGCAGCATTATAGTACTATCCTAAGGGCTTAGACTCCCCCCTAGAAAAAAAGAAATTGAACTTGGGGTTGCTAGAGAATCAATCCCTACATTCTGCTGAGTCCTACCTTTTCTACCCCAGGGACCTACCCAGGCTTCTTATCTTCTAGTATTATTCTAAGGGCTTGTTTTCCCATCAAAAAGGAGACACTTAAGGTTAAGAGACATCCTTCTTCCCACGGGAATTCATTGGCTGAATAAGTTATCATGGCAAAGCCCAAGTTTAATTTCTCTATTTTGTGATTCAGTCCATTGCTATGTCAATTCCAGGGTCATATACTGGATCCTTGGTCCACCTCTAGATGATGAACTCCCATAGTGGCTTTTCTGTCCATGGCTACCATCTCTGAGGTTGAGAGTTTGCCTGTCCAAGAACCAAGAGTTCTAGAACCATTGCCACTCCACCCCTGCCACCTGTGCCCCCATCTATTGGCATTTCTTGGGCATTAAGGCTTTGCAATTACATTTCCATGTCTGCCATCTGGGACTGGTGGTTCAGAAGGCTGAGTTCCCTGAAGGAGCTATATGTAGAAGGGTAGACTCTTGGAACCCAGGTCCATTCTCAGGTCTTTGGTCTGTACTCTGTTATTTCTGGACCTCCAAATCTTAGCTTGGCTCCCTTGTCTTAGATCTACAGTCCTCTGATCTAATGAAATCACCTCTGATAATTGCCACTTAATTACTCCACAGGGATGTTCCACCCAACAAGGAGGCATAATCAGAGTTTTTCCCACACAATAAAAGACCTCCAAAATGGCTTTATCTCTATAACCCCACCAGGTTGATCAGCAAGTACGGATTCACCCTGTACAGAACAAACTGAATGGGAGAAGGCAGAAGGTCCAGCTGACTTGTTGAAAGGACAGAGTTGAGGTTGAAGAAAATATTCCCAAAGGGCTGAAACTAGGGTGTAGGATCACCAGGCAAAAGCAGCTGTTTTCTCTTCCTGATAAGAAGAATGTGGACTCAATTCTAGAGGATTAGAAAAATTTTAAATCACATATAAACACAGATGGGAAGGAATGTGATTGCTATTAACGGAGCTGTGGCAGTATCGAGGAACACTCCAAAGCAATACCCTCAGCTACTCCACAAATTTGAGAAACCACAGTACATCGGGATCCTAGCCAATTGTTTTGTGAGTTCTCCCAATAAGAAGAATTTGGCTTATTTTTTTTAAGCTATTTGCACCATTTCTTAAAATATATGGCAATTCTTTGACTTTGTTTAGCTCCATTGACCTGTCCTGGGTATCATCAGAAAACTGTATGAATTTGACATCTTATGTCATATGCATATATCTATAAACATAGATGCTTTTATATGTGTTTGATTTAGTTGTTTTAATCTAGGTGTCAGTTATCTGTGAATACATTGCATCCCCCTAGAATGTAAGCCCCTTGAGATCAGGGACTATCTCACTTTTGTCTTTGTGCCCCCAGGACCTAGCACAATGTCTGGCACATAGTAAGTGCTTAATAAATACTTCCTGATGGATGGATGTTTTGTTTTTAGTCCTGTTCTTGTACAAATCACAGACCTGAAAATCATGTCTACGTATAACTGGACTGTTTGTTTCTAAAGCATAAAGTAATCCTAATCTGTGGATCTCTCCTGCTTAAAAACCTTCAGTGGCTCTCCATTGTCTATATGCTTAAATATAAATTCCTGTTCCTGGTAGTCAAGCCGTAGGGTACAGGAGACAGCATATGACATATCACTATTACCACCTCAACTACGATGTGGCTTCAGATCTTAATGGAAATAACCCAAGTCCTGAAGCCCAAAAGCTCTGGGGATAGCCATGCCCCCTGAGACCACCTACCCTGTTTCTAGACCTGTCTCTGCAGCCATCATCCCGGCAATCAATCCCTGAAGAAGGGGCCATCCCTCTTCATCATCACCAACTGCTGACCAACTGCCACTAACAGGCAGGTGAGCCTCAGGACTCCAGGAACAGTAGCATTCCAACTCCCACTCCCAGCCTCACCCTCACCCCACCCCCATCCCAGAGCACTGAGCTTCTTGAAGTCAGGGACTATCTTTTGCCTCTTTTTGTTTCTCTATCACTTAGTGCAATGCTTGGCACATAGCAGGCACTTCATAAATGTTTATTGATTGGCTGCTTTCAATGCACTCCTTGAAGTCATCATTCAGAGAAGTCATTGTGGAGAAGGGTGCCAACTAGCTGCCACCTCCAGGGCAGGCCAGCCAGCCTGGTTGAAGGGACAAGGCACTTCTCTAGAGGTAAAAACAGAAGGCAGCATGTGCCAGGCAGGTCTAACTTTAACCACTACCTCTAGCTGCTGACCAACTGCCAACAACAGATGCCACATCTCTGTCTCCTCAGCTATTCCAGCTATTTTTATCACTCCTCTAGCCTCCCGTTGCAACCCTTCCTTCCACCCATTTGGCTACAGGCCTTGCCTTTGCCAAAAAAAAAAAAATTAAGAACATTCACTAAGAGCTCCCTCTTCTGCCCACCTTCATCTAATACCACTGAGATATATTCCTCAATTATCTCCTCCTTCCTCCTATCCCACATGAAGATATGGCCCTTTTCCTTGCCAAGGCAACACCATCCCCTCGAGCAGATTGCCTGCTCTGTCACCCCCACTCTCTCTCTATTCAATTTCTGCCTTTCTATTGGTTCTTTCCCTGCTGTCTGCAAACACATTCTTGTCTCCTGAATCCTTAAAAAAATCCTCACTTGATTTGCTCCTCCCCACTACTTAGTCTATATCTCTCCTTCCAGTCTCTCATATATACTCCTTGAAAAAGCTGTCTACACTAGGTACTCCACTTCCTCTCCACTCTCTACTAACCCATCTGCTCTCATTTCCATCTGTATCATTCAACTAAAACAGTTCTTTACAAAATTACTAGTGATCTAATATCTGTTTCTCAATTCCCATCTTTCTTGACCTTTCTGAAGCCTTTGACATTGTTAAGCACCCTCTTGTGTATACTCTTTTCACTCTATGCTTTTGTGAAATAGCTCTCTCCCCATTCTCTATCTGTTTGACTGCTCCTCATCTCCTCTGTTGGATCATCATCCTCATCATGCTTACTTACTGTGGTTGACCTTCAAGGTTCTGTCATGGGTTCATTTTTCTTTTCCCACTATGTTATCTATCTTAGAGATCTCACCAGCACCCATGGATTCAGTGATCATCTCTGTGCAGAATACTGCCAGATCTATATGTCCAACTCCAATCTCTCTTCTGAGTTCCACTCCTACATCACCAATAGACATCTCAAGAGTCAATATGTCCAAAATATAACTCCTTATTTTTTTCTCTCCAAACCCTCCCCTCTTAACTTTTTCTATTACTTTGGAGGGTGCCACCATCCTTCCAGTCACCCAGACTCACAATCTTGGGACCATCATTAACTCCTCACTCTTCCTCACTCCATGTATCCTATTATCAAGTCTTGCCATTTGTACTTAACAATAGCCATATTGTATGTTATATACAATATCAGTATATGATCCCTTCTCTCCACTCATGGTCACCACCCTGGTCCAGCAGCATTAAGATTGAGAAAAAGTTATTGGATTTGGCAATTAGAGAGCAATAGGAATTTTCTAGAGAGTAGTTTAGATTAAGTCAGAAGCCAGACTAGGATGGTCAGATCAAGTGAGGGTTTTTTGAGGGAAACATGGGTGTGTTTGTAGGCACTAGGAAAGCAGACAGTAGACAGAGTTAAGTTGAAAATAAGTGAAAGATACATTGAAGTCTGATCCATTGTAGCCTTTTAGGGGATCAAAATGTTTTGAATCTGCTGTGCAAGAGAATCTGAGCAAACGTAAGAGCTAAGGTCATTATTTTCTCCTTGTCCACCAAGTCCTGGCCTTTTAATAGGTATCTGTAGCAGGTACAAGCCTGATTATGATGATTTTCATAATTATAGCTTTAGATCTGGAAAAAACCTCAGACGTTATTCCACTACCATTTCTGTTTTAAAGATAAGCAGACTGAGGTCCAGAGCAGTGATATAATTTGCCTGAGTAGAACCCAGGTCCCCTAGGTTCCCAATCCATTACTCGTTCTTGTTTCCTGACTGGTCAAGAATTATAACCCTATTTAGAAAGGGGAAGAATCGGCTCTTCCTCTTTCACAAAGATCTTCAGAGGACAAAATAAAATGATAGTAATAGTTGTACTTTGAAAGTGAAAATGCTACAGTAATAACACTGGGCTTCACTATTTTTATTAGTCGTTATAATCTAGCCTCAATTATCTTTGCTAATGATATGGTACCAATTATATAAAATCGGATAAGCCAAAACATTGATAGTTGGTTTTAGAAGGCGTTGTATGGTTTGTTTCAGCCATAGCTTTACCTTCTTAATTATGTTTTCCTTAGGCTGCAATTAAAGTTATTTTGGGTGGCCTGAACACATGCTAAATGATGGCAGGGAGCCCAGAAACTTCCTAGGTAGGAGGAAGAAGGTTGCTTGGAGTTAAAATTTGTTTCTTGTCTTAATGCACATGGGGAATCATCTGCATCTCATTTGAGAATTTGCGAGCTAACTATTAAAATTGGCTTATCTTAAATTAATAGCCTCATATTTATGTAGCACTTTAAGATTTATAATTCACTTTCCTCACAATAACCCTAAGGTAAAACATGCAACTAGTACTGTGACCATTTTACAACTCAATCAGGCAACCAACAAGCCCTCAGTAGGCACCTACTATGTGTTAGGAACTTTGCTAGCACTGGTGATACAGATACAAAGATGAAATGTCTCTGCCTCAAGGATTTTTCAGCCTAGACAACACACGTGTGTGTGTATATATAAGTGCACGCAAAGTAGGTAACAAGGAGGTGGGGTTGACCAATGGCCACAAGTAGCTGGGAGGATCTGGAAGGTATCATGTAGAAAGTGCCATTTGAGCTAAGTCTTGGAAGAGGCTAGCAGGGATGGGAACCAGCAGCCTTGAAGCCACATGCAGCCCTCTAGGTCCTCAAATGCGGCCCTTTAACTGAATCCAAACTTCACAGAACAAATCCTTTTATTAAACCACTAGGGATTCTCAAAGGAGTGAAAGCATTCCAGTCATGGGGATCAGCCTGTTTGAATGCCTAGAGATGGAATGTGGAATGTCTTATATGAGAAACAGTAAGAAAGCCAATTTGACTGGACTGGAGAGGGCAGGAAAGGGAGTAAATCAGGCTAGACAGGTAGCCGGAAGATAAATTGTAAAGGGCTTTAAATGCCAAATTTGTTGTTGCTCAGTCGTTTTAGCTGTGTCTGACTCTTCGTGACCCTATTTGGGGTTTTCTTGGCAGAGATGCTAGAACTGTTTGCCATTTCCTTCTCCAGCTCATTTTACAGATAAGGAAACTGAGGTAAACAGGGTTAAGTGACTTGCCCAGGGTCCCGCAGCTAATAAGTGTTTGAGGCCATATTTGACCTCAGAAAGATGAGTCTTCTTGACTGTAGGTCTGGCACTCTATCCACTGTGCCATCTAGATAAGTTTATATTTTATTCTGGAAGTAATAGGGAACCACTGATGATTATTGAGGAGGGGAGTAACATGGTCAGGCTTAGGCTTTAGGAGAATCATTTAGGCATCTGTGTGGAGGGGAGGGGAGAGACTTGAGGTAAGGAACCCAATTAAGAAGCTATTTTATTAGTAGTGATAAGGGCCACGTGAGAAGAGAGGAGACAGATGTGAACATATCTTCCTGGAGATATAAATGACAAGATTTAGCAACTGATTGGACTTTTGAGATGAGTGAGAGCGAGGAACTGAAAATGACACCGAGGCTGAGACCTGGATGACTGTCAGGATTGTGATACCCTCGACAAGAATAGGGAAGTTCAGAAGAAAATTGAGTTTGGGAGAAAATACAACGAGTTCTGTTTCTGACACCTTGAGTTGGAGGTGTGCTTTCTGCAGTCTCAGTGCACTCACAGGATCTCCCAGCCCAGAATTCATTATCTCCTCATCTGGGTCTTTTAAAATCCTTCTCTTCAAGGTTTCACCTGGTCATCACCTCCCCTCTGATCACCACCACCCCTTACTGCAAATGTTCTCCACCCCGCTCAAATTTTTCTAGATTACTTTGGATAAATGCCTGTTGACTGTTCAATTGTTCCCCTCCTAACTCCCTTACTTGTGCTATACCTTTGAAAAAAATTATACTTTGTTTTAACTTGAATTTTTAAAAATTTCGAGTTCCACTAATGCATTGTTGGTGGAGTTGTAAATGATCCAATCATTTTGGAGAGCAGTTGGGACCCAGCAATAGCACTTCTAGGGCTATATCCCAGAGAGATCATACAAATGGGAAAAGGACCCACATGTACAAAAATATTTATAGCAGCTCTTTCTGTGGTGGCAAAGAATTGGAAATTGAGAGGATGCCCATCAATTAGGGAATGGCTGAACAAGTTGTGGTATATGAATGCAATGGAATACTATTGTGCTATAAGAAAGATGAACAGGCTGACTTCAGAAAAACCTGGAAAGACTTGTATGGTCTGATGCTGAGTGAAGTGAGCAGAACCAGGAGAACATTGCACACAGTAACAGCCACATCGTGCGATGACTAGCTTTGATAGACCTAACCCTTCTCAGCAATACAAGGATCTAAGACATCTCCAAAGGCCTCATGATGGAAAATGCTATCCACATCCAAAGAAAGAACTGTGGAATTTGAATGGAGACTGAAGCATACTATTTGCTATTTTTTTTTGTTCTGTTGTGTTTTGTTTCCTCTTTTTGGTGGTTCCTCCTATTGGTTCTAATTCTTACTTACATCACTAATGTGAAAATATGTTTAATAGGAATGTATATGTATAGCCTATATCAGATTGTGAGCCATCTTGGGGAGGGAGGTGGGAAGAGAAGGGGAGAAAAATTTAAAACTCAAAAGCTTATAGA